GCCCCCGCGGCGAAGATGGACCTGGGCAGCGCCGCGGGGAGAGCGGGAGCTGCCCCCGCGCCCCTGGGCGTCTGGAGACCTTTCCCCTCCTCCTGCTTCTCCTCGCTCCTGGATGTGAACAGCTGGCTCCTCTTCTACGGCTTCTTGTACCTGGCACTGTATGCCCAGGTGTCCCAGTCCAAGTCCTGCGACAAAATCTCCTGCTTCTCGGGTCATTGTGTCAACTCCACCTGCGTCTGCGACCAGGGCTGGGTGGGAGACCAGTGCCAACATTGCCAGGGCAGGTTCAAGTAAGTCTCTGCTTTTATAATTCCCTTTTTCTCTTCTCTACACCCTTTCCCTGCCATTTTCACTTGCCTGTTTTTTCGCTTGTGCCTGCTATGATTTTGTTCATGTGTGGTGGAAGTATGTGACAGAAGTTAAGGATGAAATAGGTTCCTCTACCTCATGGTCCCTCCCTCTAAGAACACAGGGCGCAGTCCTCTGGTGGAAAATTGTACCTGCTAACTTACTGCTGGAAATAGGCAGCTCCACTTGATGGGAACTGAGAGACAAGGAGAAATCGGCCTAAAGCTGTGTTGCTGCTGTCCCTTCTGGAAGTGTCATGGAAATGACATGTGCGCTTCATGGGGCTGCCCAGGAAGCAAAAATTACTAGTGGATTTGAATGACTTTTTCCTTCTGAAGAGTGAAAGTGTTTTGCTCATTCCAGTCTTCCTCCCTTTCTTTCAGGTGTTTTAGCTAAGTGGGCATTAGTCAGGCACATTCAGCATAACATAACTTATGTTAATAAGTTAATATAAGTATGTGAAACATACATCACTCATGGCAAGGTTTGCAGGAGAGGAGAGCGTGGTAAATGTAAAACAGTAACATTATTTTTGCAAAGGAGTGAATGGTCAGCGAAGTTAGAACTACCTTCTCATTCTTAAGAGTTCATGTGATACCAAGTCATTGATCAGTGAGAAGGAAGCGCACCCTGACACTTGCTTTTCTATATGTAGTGGAAAAGAAGACTTTATTTATAGGGCTGTCACTTTCCCCCCCGCCCCCTTTGGTATCAGTACAAAGACTGACTGTGAAGAATACTGTTTGCTGTTATTTCTCTATATAACCTTGGACAGGACATCTCATTTCATTCCCTTGTAAAACACCCCTTAAAAGCAGGAGCTCTGTTTATTAAGTATGTTGACATATATAGCTGGAAAGTGTTCTAATATCTAGCTAATAACAATACATTGATGAGGCTATGTCTTAGAGAATTCAAATTCTGTCTTTGGAAAAGTACTTTTAACCTATTAAAAGTATCTATGATTATCTATTTTAGATTGTTCAGTTTTCTCTCTGGAATACTAAAATTAAGCTAATTAGTTTATACCTCTCTTAAACATTTAATCCAAGGTCACTCATTCCTAAATAAACAAAAAGTAAATCCAGTAACTTGTTAGCTTCAGAAGTTAAGGAGTAGCTGGAGTCAGACATGTTGGCTGAAGTAATCTACATGCTGCAGAGAAAGAAACAATTCACTGATAATATATGGTGGATTATTCCATGTATAATCGTAATGATTATAACTGAGTTATAGAGGTAATATAAGGCAAATATAATACATCTTTTTTGCATATGAACTTGGTAATAAGATTTTAAAGTTGGTCATTTGTTGCCTGTGTGTATTGAGGATTTGGGGGTTTGTCCTGCTCTGTACTGTGGAACAATAGGCTAATTGCGTAGGGATTGAGAGTGAGGAGAGGAGGCCCAGGTGAATCTTCTTTGTGTGTGAGGATCTGCAGGAGACTATTATTTCCTTGCTTTAAAGAGATTACTTGTATCCTTTGTCTTGATGCCACTCACAACAAACCCTAGTAGTGCATGGGCTGAAGCAAATTTTCATTTCTTAAATTTCAAAGCTTGTTGAGAATTAGTATATTCTCTGAATGGTTACTGGAGCCTTTGTCCAGTCCTTACAGGTGTTTCCTTGATGATCTGTTAAAACATTTATGTTTGTCTACATTGATTGTATTTGTCGAGTGAGGAGGCGCAGTGGTTGCATTTTCACTTCTGGTGGAAAGTTAATAATCCATCCCCACCTAGAGGAAGTTCTGCCTGAATGTTGAAAGGACATCTCTTCTGAGATAAGCTAACACAATGGTTAATCGATGTGCTGTTAGGAGCTTTGGTGAAATCGGAATAGATTTGTCATTAACTCCTCTATATTCTTTCATGCCTAGCTTTAGAAATGACAGTGATGCTTGTGTTGTGATTTTTATCATGGAAATAAGCTGTTTCTATTATGTTGGAGACCTAATTTTTACTGAGGACGCTTTCATTGTGGTATCTTTGATAGCTCATCTTTAATCTTAAAAGCAAAATACACTCTGCAATGAAAATAAGCATTCTAAGACTTAAAGCTTTTCAAGTCCTGCGAGTTGGGGATGGCGTGAAAAATGTTAGCGTGTCTTACAATGCAAACAGCAACTTGGAGTCGTCGTATTTTGAATCCTGAAAATTCAGATGGGTGTTGAATGGGTGATGAGTCAAGGCTATGTATTTCCAACTGAAGAGTTGGAAATGGAATATTAGTTGGCCTTGTGGTTGGGTGATTGAAGACCCTTCTGACTTCTGTGACAATTGATGGTTTGACATGTTGTTGTGAAACATTTGCATATTGTTTCCATTTTTCTGTGAAGTGTGAGTATCTGCTTTGTAGCCAAGTAGCCGCAGCTGGACTTTTGCAGCAGTGGTCCTTTCACTTGACACGTTATGTTGGATGTGTCTCACTTTTGCAGCAGTTGCGTCAGTCATTAAGAATTATTATGAAGAATGTTTCAGAATGACATAAAGATTGAAAAGTATGTTTGACTATTATAACTGCATTAACAAATAATTTGAGTTGTAGATACAATCTATACAAATGTTGCTATTATAACTGCATTAACAAATAATTTATGAGTTGTAGATACAATCTATACAAATGTTAATAGGACTTTGTATATTATTCTAAGCATTTATGTTGTTTCAAAGTTTCAGCAGTTTGAAGTGCCTGAGTGCGTCTCTGTTGAGAGATTAAAATTGAACTTTTAATGACCTAAATTGGACATGTGTAAAACTTGTTTTCTGTCACTAGAATATTTATTTGAGGAAACAGATTTTTAAGGGTAGACTTTAAATACTTGAAAATAAAAGATTTTTTTTTTTCTTCATGTAAGTGAAGTACGGTTATTTTTGTTCTTCTGGGAGTGAGTGACACTTGAAAATAAAAGATTTTTTTTTTCTTTCTTCATGTAAGTGAAGTATGGTTATTTTTGTTCTTCTGGGAGTGAGTGACTTGCATTTGCAAGCATCAGGAACATTAATGTAAAGAAATATTCTACCTAGGGGTAACCTGGGACCACTAATTCTTTGGTGAGATGTGTAGTATTTTTGGCTTTGTTTTATTTCTTTTCTAGACTGAGAAATAACAACATAGCAGAGAGACATCAAAAATAATTGATCAATCTTAGTAAGCAGGTGTCAAAATTAATTGTCAATACTATGGTAACCTTGCCTTTTCCCTGTAGGAGAACTACTGAATAAGTAGACTACTTTGCAAATGTTGCTCTGGACTGGATGAAAGGGTGGATGGGAGAAAAATGGACGAACAGATTCTCTAGCACTATTTTATTACTCTTATTTATCAACTTTTGTATTTACTCCTTGTATTGTGAAGCATGTGGTAACTCATTATATAAATGAAAGTGGTAAGTGGTGGTGTTCTTACTGCATTGTATTCACATCCATGTCAGTCACTTTTCAGAATGATCTAGGCCTCGTCTCTGCCTGGCAGTAACTTATTTTAATCTCTGTTCAGGATGGATATCTGAATGCAATTCTGACTTATTTCCTTCTCTCTTAAACATTTTTTTTTTTTTTCCCCCCCTTCCCTTCTGCTCTGACAGAATGCAAAACCCCTTTGTTTTGAACCAAAATAAAAAAGGGAAATTTAGTTATAAAAAGACAGAGGAAAGGAGTTATTTCTGCTTGCCCACAGGAGACAGGTGAAAGATAAGAAAGGGTGAGCAGGTTCTGGTTTTATAGCAGGGAGCTTCAAACAGCACAGTTCCCAAGATGTAAACAAAACCACAAGCATAGCAGCACAGTGTTCAGTTTAATTCTGATTGATCGATTTAGTAAAGAAATGAAGCTTTTAATGCTACATCTGCCACTCTTTCTTCCCCTATCCTATACCTTTAAATTTGTTGGTCAGTTGGAGTTTTTGTGATAGTATGAGTTTGGGCAGAAGGGAGAAGGAAAGGCTGCCCAAATCAGGTGTGTTATGACACTCCAGGGAATTCAGGAAGACAAACACTATGGATGGCCCAACTGCAGAAAAAGCTGCAGTCACAGCTTCTACGTATTTAGATGTCAAAGTCAATCAATCCTGAGATACAGCACTACAGGAAAACAGATTTCATTAGTTTTGCTACTACAGAATGAATTCTTAGAAGAAAAAAAATTTTACTTCTGGTTGGAGCAAAAAGTTACCCCTTTCACTAGCTCTAGTTTGCCCACTAATGTGTTGAAGAGCATTAGAGAAAAAGTTGTGCATGAAACTACTCTTCCTCTTAAGGTTTTGAGTACCTGAATGACTGGAAATATCCGGTCCTCTAAAATGCTGTCTTTAAAAAAGTACATTGGGTCTTCAAATGGTTATTTTAATTTGATAACTTGTGAGTCCCAATTCGCCTATGTAATGAAGCAGACCGTACAGGATACGTGAGCACGTTTGAGTACCTACGCTTCAGTTAATCTGCTTTGCCTTGTCCTAGATATCTCGTTATGGAAAGAGTAAAAGAAAATTGATCTTTTTGATTATTAAACCTTGTCTCCAGATGTTCCTATTGCAATTCTAAATTACCTCCTGCATGTTCTCCTTAATTTCTAGAAGTCCTATAAAAGATTCTGCGTTCTTCAAGAACAAAGTAATTTCCAAGTACAAGAACCTTCACAACTGAAATATTAAAAGGGTATCAAACTTTATGTTTCCAGGCAAAATCCTTATTTCTATCTAAAAATCTGAATTCTGCTGTCTGCAGACTGACTCACGCAAGGAAAGTGTTCTTAAATTGCAGATTGTAAATGAACAATAAGGTTGTATAAGAAGTCATCTATAGAAAAAAGTTAGTTTTAGCTGCAAGCCAGTTGAAGTTCATGCTGTTGTGAAAAGGGGTGACTTTATTTTTCACACTTCTCTTTGATTACATCTTTCTGCTTCTTATGTAGGCATTAATATT